GTATTAATTGGGCATTGTGTTTTTTAAAACATTAGTTTCAAATAAACTCTCAGCACTTCTAGTGTCATATGTGTTAGGTCAGTATTGAGAGCAAGCAGCATTAATAGTTGAATAGGGCATTCACAAACAGTCATTTCAATGGCATAAAACACATTTCAAGTTTTTAATGGTATATATCTGAATAATAATTAATAATTAATTTGGCATTCTATTGTGATTGAGGCCCTCTATAAATAATCTTTATTTCCAATTGTTTTTTGAAGCAGAGAATGCTATTACAAAAATTATGGTTGCTGATTGGCCAGTTCGGTATTCAAATGTAGTCTATTAACAGCTGTCTGATGTTATGCAGCATCAAAATAGTCCTATGACTTCTTCTAAAAAGCCACCTACATTTGTACTGTGTGGCTCACACAGTATTTTTGGCAGGACAGCCACTGTGTGGTTTTGCCATTGTGTGCAAACAATTGATTTCTGATCTCTGTTCACTGTTGTATGGCCAGAATATTTCCTTATTGTGCTTGACAAGTTGCACAATTCTGAATGCTTTTTGGTAAGATCTGTGAAGATTATGCATGTGTCTTTATTGTTAAACTTCTGTTTTATTAAATAGTTTTGGAATTGATTTAAGGCGCCTTTGTCTGTTATGTACAAAGCGCACCAAAGAGTCAAATACAGACTGGGGGTTAATTAGAATGACCTGGATTTCAGCCTCAATGAAAAGACTAAATGTTTTTAAAAGCTGATAGGCCTTTGGCAATATACAACATTGAACTCCATTTTTCAAGGTCAAATGGAAGCACAATTGTAAACACATAGCTCAACTGACTCTGGTGTAAATCATAATTAATTCCTCATCTCAAGTAAAATTCAATTACAGAAGAACAACATATTCACAAGAATAGCTCTAAATGTCACATAATGTGTAACTTTTTTTCTATACTTGTAATAAACAAAAATAGTAAAAACCTACAGTACAGTTCTCGCGAAAGCTTTGGCTTCACTTCAGCGTCAGCTTCGCTTCAGCGTGAGCTTCGCTTCAGCGTCAGCTTCACTTCAGCTTCAGCATCGCATCGTTATGGCATCGTTATGGCTTCATCGTCGCATCAATGTCGCTACATTAAAAAGTTAGGCGATTATCGCTTCACTTCATTGTGGCCTCATTATGGTGACAATGTGGCATCAGCATCGCTTCATCAAACAAAGAAGTACTGTACTCATTTCACCCAAACCTCTTGACCGCTTCCGCTTTTGACCGGTCAATTTCCGTTTTATTTTTGACCGTGCAAAAAGTCAGACTACCGGTACTAAATATTTTCTGGTTTTCATAGATCACGGTTACTAGTTTAGTAACCGTGCATAGATGTTGAACAACCGTCAAAAGTTCAAATACTTTTTGTTTTAACTATCTATAATTATATGCACGCAATCTGACCCTTTGACCTAGAGTTGGACGGGATTGAATATTTTATTTTAGACAATATTCCAACATGACGCACTGCTACAAAATGTATTTTAACAGAAGTACAACACGGTTGTCTGGGTTTCTTTTCCTGATTGTGTTGAGTTTACGATTTGTATAATTACCCTTACCAAAATTCATTAGACAAAATGTATACTTTTTGTGTGCAAAAAGTATACAAATTCTGAATAAATTTTGTATACAAGAAGTACCCTATATTTGGAACAGATTTGTATAAAAAAATTGTACAAAGCTCAATTCATAAATAGGGCATTTATTTAACAAAATGAAATTCAACTTCATTGTGCGTTTCATTTGCGCAAGTGTATGGTCTTATTACACAACAGCATTTACCTATACTTACATTTAGAAATCAATTTATCAATTGTTTATGCTTACCTGACTGCATGACTATATAGTACATTCATTTACAACCTATGTTGTATCTGTTTGAGATATATGTCAGCCAAGGATGAACAACAAACTGATGGTGAGAGTAGTACTAATTTATTTCATTGTATTTTTCTCAACTGAAAATGCCAAAACTAGATATATAATGGAAAATTAAATTTTAATTTAGTTAAATTGATCAAAAAAAAGTTCATAACAATTGGCAATAAGTCATGTTAGGATCCAAAACAGGATAATTTTTAATATATGCAAATTAGGCAAACTCTAAACAACTCTCGTGGGAAATGTGTTCTACACTCTTCTTATAATGACTGAATTCTTTCAGTAAACTGTAGTAAAAATATAATTTTACTGATATCCAAAAATATAGTTTAGTATTCCTGTAATTAATGTATTAAAAATGTTTTTATACTCTCTTATTAATTTAATTGAATATTAAATTCCATTTTTCCATATTCCATAGTTTTGTACATGTATTGTATTATTGAGCATAGTTAAGTTTATTCAGATTCTAAGTCCAATTTTTGTACATTCTATGTATACATAAATAATACTAATATCTGTCAAGATGCCAAGTTAATAATTTGTACAGTTAATGTATACATAAATTATACTTCATTCTGACATGATTCTAACATACATTTTTTTGGTTACTCTTTATTTCTTAGTCATGATATTGTACAATTTTTGTATATGTCAATTATACAATATTTAGGCGTTGAATCCTATGCAAAAAGTCGGTACATTTCTAGTATACAACAAATATACATTAAGAAATTTGTATAAAGTGTGTATACAAATAATGTACTGCTCTTTTCTTGTATGTATGAATTTTGTATACAAATAATGTACACAATTTCAAAAAAGTATACTTTTTGTACAGAATATGTATACAATTAATATACTATTGGGGCAGACAATTTGGTAAGGGTATTGTTGTTTCCCCTAAGCAGAAGACAAGCCGAAGGACCATGAAGCTAAATAGAATTCCCACGCATGGACTGAGTGAAAGAAAATATTTCTAAGGCTAAAATAAAAATGACCTAATATTACACCTCTTTGTGTATTTGTCAATTTTGCATATATTTGGTATGATCGTAGATACCTAGAAAAATATCGTCTTTCGTTAATAATTTCATTTGTTTGAAATGTCTACCGACCGTGTCCCAATAATTTGTTTCTCCAAACGGTCCCGACGTCCATCATTCAACACAATCAGCATTTATTTATCGTAATTCATGGGGATCATGTCCTGTAATTTGCGGGCTATACAACCAAATAATTAAAGTACTATTTATTGTATTTTTGTTTTACCTCGCGAAACTACAACAGAGCGTAGAGTTGTCGCCCTGAAATCGATGGAACTTCTCAACTACTAGTATCCATTTCTCACCTTGAAATAAAAAAAAAACGAAGAGCATCGGAGGATATATTATTAACCAGTCTTACCAATCGCTAGCTTTATTTTATTCGAATTCATAAAATTCACGAGTTTTCGACACTTGTTGGAAACTTCCGCGCTAAAATGGTTGAAAATGTAGATGTGGCTCTCTCGCAAAGTCCTGTTGATAATATGGACAAATATGGTTCTGTGACCCAGGTTGTGCTCCGATCAGGTGACTCTCAGCCAATCAATGATGTTGTAACAAAACATATTTGACGCAAATTGAAGGGTCGTCGTACCATCCAATCTCCATCGTCGATTCACAAAGTTTATTTTTTTTGTGCTGTGACAGGCTTCGCAATTATTCACTGAAAAACATCGGTATATTTTGACAAACGGATGGGATTTGACCTCAGTTCGAAAAAAAAAGAATAAAAAAAAAACAGAGCTGAGATTCAAATCAGTTTTGCAAGTTGGGAAATAAGGTAAACCAGACTGGGGTCGATGATTTTCAGTATCGAAGGACTTCCGTGTGAATCATATTTTCAAATTGTTCTTCATCGTTTGGTCACAAAATATTTACTTCTACAACTAAATGGAAATGAAGCCCAATAAATTATTCCTGCATGTCAAGTGCTATTCGATTTTTTACAGGGCATGTGGCTCGTTTTTATTCGAAAATATTTTTTGTGAGAATATTTTTAAAGTACGTATAGATCGAGCTCAGGTCACTGATCGTGACTTAATTTTGAAAATTGGATGTAAAATTTTACCAGACCGACGCCACCACAACCATCCAATCATACATTTGTATTTTTTGTTGACTTCCTTGCAGTCAGTCTGTCCTTGCAATGTAAAACGAGGAGTGAATGTGAAATCGCTGTGACAGCCAAATAGATAATTTTGCATTCTTCCGTTAGGGCAGTGCTTTCACCACTGTTCACATAGTTTACATAGTTCTAAACCGCAAAACTGAGTTTTGTTCAGGCGGTTTAGGGCGGTTTGGGTTTTCGTAGGTTTGACCCACATGTTTGAATATGAGATCACCCCTTAGATCCCCAGGTGTGCCGCTGATAAAAGCCAAATATTATATTTTTCCCACAGTTGCTGTCAGAAACATAGACCGCACTCCATTACTGGTCCATTATGCAAAGCTTCAATACTTGTGCTTAACCGAATTCTAGACAGCCAAAAATGACCTGTATCCAATAGATATAGATGCGAATGCCCAGAATTTCCATCACACCACCCCATGTGCAGTACTCTGAAACAAAAGTATTCCATGAATTACATTACAATCACCTGAGCAGCTATGTCATGCCATGCCATGCCATGCCATGCCATGCCATGCCACACTGCATTACTAAAAATTATGCTACCTTCACAATACTATGAATTTACTGCATTATTATTCCCTATACACTTAAAACAATGTGACACACTCACATAACTGAGATTTGAACCTTACACAAGACTTGTATATTTCATTGTCATAATTAGCGCATTGCATTCGGCATACTAAAACAGCAAGCATATTTTATTTATAGCTTATTGTTGATTGCTTATAAAAAGCTAAAAATTATAATATTCTATTCCCGAGTTTGCCTCTAATTGTTAACATCCATTTATTCCCTACTTTCAACATATATATTCAAATCTAACAATAACTAAATTGTTAAATATTTAGAGAGACTTTTAATAGTTCGCATCTTTATTTGATCTCCATGTTGTTTATGATTGCAGACCTGCCAAGCATCCTCAGTGGCAAATACCTTGGAGTATTTGACCCCCTGGAAAAAGTATTTGCTTATGACCAATTCAAGAATAAGCATTATCACCAGAAACCCGGTAAGAAGTGGAAATTGAAAGGAGAGTTATTGTCAAACGACCATACCCCATACAGCAACCAGTTTGAACCATATTTGGGAATCTTTGGTTGTGATGAATCCTCTTTTCAAAGAGGAAAGTTTAATGGCACGATATTTCGGTTTCCACTACGTAAAACTGAATCACAACTGAGTGGGAACATTATTTCTAGAGATCGTATCATGGGCCCTGATGGATGGATTACATTATTTAGAACTGACGTAGATCTGACATTGTTGTTTTTGAAGAACATAGAATCAATATCTGTCTATGAGCGCAATGGACAGAATGCAAAATCAATCCTACTTTACAGTGCATCAATAGTTAAGCCCATAATTGATCGTGTACGAACCCAAAAATCTGCATTTCTAGATCTTGTGAAAACTAAGAAAGTAGCTGACCCTATCTCTATTGATATGGAAATAAAACTTGAGGACCAGATTAAAGAAGAAGTCAAACGTTGGGTGGTGGTTCACCAGATACCAAGTTCAGTATTGTCAAAGGAACTCTCATGCCTTGCTGATGATGAGGAAATTCGTTTGCTTCCCTGGGTTGGTGCAGCTATGCAAATAAGCAACAGTATGAGTGAATATGGTGGGAGGATATTCTGCTTTTTACCACTTCCACCAAGCCAGACTACAGGTCTCCCAGTTCACATACATGGATATTTTGGACTTGGAGATAACAGACGAAGTATAAAATGGCCAGATATGGAATCACAACAAGACAAAACGGCCAGGTGGAATCAACTATTGACATCAGAAGCTATACCTGAAGTGTATGTGAAGCTAATAACATCTTTAATACACGAGTATAAACTGGAGCCAAAGTGTGTGTATGCAGCATGGCCAGATCCTTGTAAAATAACTTCAGACAACTGGAAATGGCTGCTGGAGAAATTGTTGAAGCTATTACTGGAAAATGATGTTTTCTATACTGAAGCAAACTCTGGCACTTGGATTGGTTTGAAGACAGCTATTTTTAATACTTCCCAAAATAGTGTCTCTAGCATAGTCAACCAAGACGTTGTAAAGTTGTTGCTAGATCATGGTCAACCTATTGTGAATCTTCCAATGCATATCCTGGAGTGGTTGAAAGTATCAAATGCTGCTCTGAATATACTCATGCCAGCTAGTGTCAGAAGATTTTTAAAGTCAATATGGCATCAAAATTTAGAACGACGCACCAAACTGAATATACTGGAATATATTCTAACTGATGCACAGTACAATGATCTTAATGGTCTTCATCTGCTACCATTGGCCAATGGGACATTTACGTCATTTAGCAGTGTAGGTGACTCTAAAAAAGTTTTCATTGCTACTCAAAGTTGCCCTCAGTATTTACTACCTAATATGGACAACAGATTTCTGGATGGAAGTTTGCCACACCTCCTAAAATCAAAATTGGAGGATGCCTCTAAGTATACACAACTAAGTGTTCTGAATCCAGATATTGTCGCCCAGAACCTGCGATCGGCTCTACCCTCTAAGTGGACTGCAGGTCTTGAAAGTACAATAATGTGGAGTCAAGTTCGATCTGACCAATATCCTCCACCTGAATGGTTGTCTCAATTTTGGAACTGGTTTATATGCCAGAAACAGCTTTCTATAACAGTTCTAGAAAGTTTGCCATTAATTCCATTGAAGAACTGTAGCTCTACTATTGAGTTACTCAAACTGAAATCAGGTCCAAAGGCAATATTTCGTGGAACACTCCCAGAAGACATAGTCAGAGTTGTGGAGATGTGTAGTGGTTTTGTCATCCATGAACAACCATATCTGCAACGTTTACCACTCAAGAAATATATTGCTTCATCTGATGCTGATGGTGTATTGACAGTTTTTGAAAACATTGGTATTGGAGTAGTTCAACAGAAACTGAAGAGCAACCCTGTTTTGGCAAATTCTCTGTGCACATTTTTGGCCCAACAAAACGGGTATGTCTGCGATAAACACAGACACACTCTGAAGCAACTACCTATTTTTGGAACAATAATGGGCTCTACCTGCATTTCTGTAAACGAGTGTGCTTTAATAGCACCCAGTGAATATAACGATATTCCGTGTAACAAGATCAAGAAGCAGACTCTTACAGGTGGTGACATAAATACTCTTAACCTAGCAAAGGCTCTTGGGGCAAAGCAATTAAGATTTGATGAATATCTGGAAAATTATATTCTTTGTGAAGTTGAGAACCAGTATTTTTCTTACCAGGAAGTCACACAGATAATGGAGTGGGTTCTAAATTGTCCCCAGTATGATTATATTGTGAAGAAATATAGATGTATTCAGAGTCGTGGTGGACAATTGTCCAAACCATGTGAAATCATTGATCCTGACAACTCTCTACTGAAAGTGCTTCTTGGAGAATCAGGACTGCCGGTTGACACTTACATTCAACCCAAACTCATTAAACTCATAAGAAGAGTTGGTCTTATGGAAGAATCAAATGTGAGTCCTGATATAATATACAGCATAGCAAAGAACCTTGACTGTCAGAGACGCAAGTGTACACCAGATACGATGCAGAAAGCACATTGTTTGCTGAAGTATGTGAATAAATATTCTAACAAGCTAAATACATACACAAATGACAGAGGCAATATAAAGCTACTTTTAGACCGATTGAAGTCTTTAGCCTGGCTTCCATGTGAGGTTAACAGACCAAAAGACTACCCAAGTTTTATTCCATGGTTTGGTGATGATGATGTACAACACAGCCGTTGCCTCTTCACCCCTAGAGAAATTACCTCGCATGACCACTATAAAAAAATTGGTGGTGTCATGCCAATTATACCAGTACAACATCAGAATCATTCCCTGTTTCATGCATTTCAATGGCAGACACTGGATGGTATGAAGTCGTACGACCATGTGCAGAAAGTGGTAATGCAGATGAAGCTCATAGTTGATTCAGCAGAGGAAGTCGTGCAAAATATGCTAAAACCCTTGGAAGATATGATTTTTGAAATTTATAGCTTTTTGTCCAAGTCCAACATTGAGTGGGTGAGACACTGGATAAATGTCAATGGAGGCAATACACTGAAATGGATCTGGCATGGAAGAGGCTTCACAAGTGCAAATAATGTAGCTTTTGCTTCAAACTTGCATATCAATCTTCAACCTTACCTTTTTACATTGCCACTGACATTAGCTGAAGAACATTCTCAGTTGTTCAAGGAAATGCACATTTCAAAAGAGTTTAATCCAAGGGCACTCACTGATGTGTTGCATAGGATTAAAAAGAAACATTGCGGGACAATTTCTTCTAAAGATGTAGAAACTGACTTGAAACTCTCATGCGAAATAATACATCTACTGTGCAAAGATAGTATCTTGAAAGACGATATTCAGAAATCAATTCTTGTACCAGCAAAGATGCATGATACATCCAAGTTGCAGTTGGTTGAAGTGAACCTATGTCTTTACCGTGACAGAGAGTTCCTTCCTGATGATCTGACAGACAACTCATTTTACATTGTACATGATGACATACCTAATGTAACGGCTCGTAAATTAGGTTTGCAGCCCTTGAGTAACCATGTTGCTCCAACTGATAATCTTGGATATGATCTGGCTGGTCCTCATGAAAGTGTCATAAATGCCATAAAGAGGAATTTAGAAATGTACAAAGAAGGTGTTGACATCTTCAAGGAACTCATTCAAAATGCTGATGATGCTGATGCTACTGAAATTAGATTTCTTATAGACCAGAGACAAAATGTGGATCTGCAGTTGAAGCTCCTAGATCCTGGTATGAAACACTGCCATGGGCCTGCACTTTGGTCATACAATGATGCCATGTTCTCAAGTGAAGACATAAAAAACATTTGTGATATAGCTGCTGCATCAAAGAAGGACAAACTTGACAAGATAGGACGTTTTGGTCTTGGATTTACTTCAGTGTACCATGTTACAGACGTTCCTAGTGTTGTCAGTGGGTCTCATATTATGATCTTTGATCCCAGGATGACTCATTTGAAATCTCGCATTCACAACCCTTCCCAGCCTGGCATTAAGTTGAATCTGCAAGAAGAATCTCATCAACAGACTCTCAGTGTATGTGTAGACCAGTTTCAACCTTATCATGAAATATTTGGGTGTAATATTTCTGAAGACTTCAAATTTAATGGTACCCTTTTTCGACTCCCTCTGAGAAATCATTATCAAGCAAGTGACCAAATGGAAAATCGAATCACAGATGCAGTATATGATGACAAACAAAAACTTCAGAAGTTGATTAGCCAGCTTAAAGAATCAGCTCCATCCCTTCTCTTGTTCACTCAAAATGTTAAGAAACTCAGCATATGGGAATTAAAAACTGGGAGCAAATCGGGTGCAGAAGCTGTAAAAATGCTAACAATTGAAGTTAACTTAACCCAACAACTACCAAGACAGATTGCCAGTGTTTCTAAATGTCCAGTAATAGATCAGCTAAGACAGCAATCAAATATCCTGAACGCCACATCAAAATGGGTGAACAGTGGACATGATAACCCACCAGAGTCAACAAGCCTAATAGAAGTTGTATTTGAATCCCAGTTATCAAAATCAATGAAGACACGAAGACAGAAAGACATATGGCTTGTTAGCTCATGTGCGAGTATGGGAGCAGCTTTTAAAGCTGCACAACAAGATGATGGCAGGAAACAGGGAGTTCTCCCTTGTGGTGGAGTAGCTGCTCAGTTGAAAACTGGAGTAAATGGACTTAATCCTTTACCACTGGAAGGACAACTTTACTCATTTCTTCCAGTAACAATCCAGACTGGTTTACCCATCCACCTAAATGCACCATTCGCATTACAACCAAACAGAAGACACATATGGAGCAAATCCTCAGTTTCTAGGAGAAATACAGAATTTGAAGGAGAATGGAATTTGTGTCTTTTGATTGATGTCCTGGGCAAGGCTTTCATAAATCTTTTGACTGACATGATTCAACTTCAAATAAATGGAACAGTAGGAAGGCACGACTTTCATACCCTGTGGCCAAACTTAGAATCAACTGAGAGTGACTTTCATCCTTTTGTAAGGGCATTTTATGAAAGTTTGAGTGGAAATCATGCCAGTGGACCACCTCAAGTCATCTACAATGAATCTCAGTGGGTAACTCTTAATGAATGTTTATTTCTTGGAACAGATTTACAACAAGAAACACAGATTGTTAAATATGCAACGATTATCCTAAACGAATATTGCAAACCAAAGAGGGTTGTGAAGCTAAATGAAGCCATAGAAAAGTGTATCAAAGAGTTTGGCACTGGACAAGTTATTCAGGAAAATGTATATGACATTACTCGTTTCTATAAGGATGTATTCTTCAAATACACAGAAGATATTTCCCTGGATATCAAAAACCCTCTGCTACTGTATTTATTGGACATTCGTATTGGTTCCCAGAAAGATGTTCGTTTTGATAAGTACTTGAAGGAAATTCCGTGTTTCCCTGTCACTCCTGATGGTTACATTGTTGATGTTCCACATAATCTAGTGCATCCAGAATCATTAGTAGGCAATCTGTTTGATGATTCGGATGGTAGATTTCCTTATGGTGATGGCTTTCTATCCAAGGAAAGATTGCTTTCACTCATTGACCTTGGGATGGCTACAGATGAACTATCATGGGAAGATTTGCTTGGTAGAGCCCAATCTGTGATGGAGGTATGTCAAACACACGGGTTTAAAGCTGCGGTTTTACGTACCAAGGTCATATTAAAAGTGATGAATAATTTGCTGAAACAAGGGAAAAGTCCAAGTTTGTATGATGTCAAGAGATTAACTAGAACCTCATTTCTCCCAGTGTTGAAGAAACCAGATGACTATCCTTGTGATTGGATGGGAGAAGAGAATTTTGCTGATGGGGCTAGCTTGTTTAGCAAGGGATGTGTGTACCACCTCGGCTCTGTTGCACAAATACTTGATGACAGTTGTATAGACAGTAGTGGTGACTTAAGTCAAGAAATAATGAAAATCCTTGGAGTGAAGAACAGTGCACCTATTGACAATGTTCTTTTACAGCTGCAACATGTATTAAAGTATCCAAAGGCCAAGAAAACGATGATAATGTGTTCTGAGATATATCAGTACTTACAACAAGTGTTATGTGAAGAGGTGACAACTAACAGTGGCAATACTTCAATACAGATTAGAGCTGGTCATGAGAAAAACATAGAGGAACTTCAAAGCTTGAAAGTTTTCTTTGTTGATGACATGTTTGTTGGTGCAAATCAGTTAGCATTCAAATGGACAGAGGTAGCAGCACCTTACTTGTATAAGGTCCCAAAAAATCTTATGAAGTGCAAAAAGCTTCTACAAGTGTGTGGTGTTAGAGAATCGTTTGACAATGATGATTATTTAGATGTATTGACAAAGCTGAAAGAAAGGCATGGAAATGGTTCGCTTCCTGAACAGGATCTGCGACTTGCTTTAATAATGCTGAACACACTTGACTCATCAGATGACTTTTATGAGATTACAAATTTGTATGCTCCGGACACAGAAACAATTTTAAGAAATGTCAAGGATTTGACATTTGATGATGCACCATGGTTAATTAACAAAGCACAGTTTATTTATGCTCACCATGCAATCAACTGGAAGCAGGCTGACAAGTTTGGTATTATTGCAGCAAGAAAGAAGAGATCTAATGAGTTCTCCTTACCACTTGGATGTGCACAACGATTTGGTCAGAAAGAAGAGCTCACAAATCGCCTT